TTACTTATCTAGTCAAGTGTGTCTATTTCAAATTCTATCAAATACATTCAAGTTATTCTACTGACATGAATTGGAATGATTATATTGGATTAATTGCTAAGTCTGAGACTAGAAATGCCCGTTCACTGTGTCGTGATAGACAATTTTTCTCACCAAGAATCTATCTTTAAAATTTATAAATCCACCATTCGTCCTTGCATTAAAATTTCAATCACATCTGGTCTCGTGATTCTGATATAAATCTAGAGATTCTTGACATAATCCATAGAAGAGTCTGTAATGTTATCGGTCCTAACATAACAGCTCGAATATACTCCCTTTTCCAAAGACGTAACGTAGCTTCTAAACGTTTCTAAAAATACTTTCATGTCAAATGTTCCGGTGATCTTTCCTCTTTGGTATTAAGATTCCAAGTGTAGTACTAGACTTGTAGCATCATTGCACTTTTGAAATTGCTAGATGTAACCGTAATTTCTACTCAGATAGTTTATTTTCTCGCACATCTCGCTTGTGGTGCTCACTTTTAACATCGTGCGTTTCTATAAACTAACTATTGTGAGACCGGAAACTACCTACACAATAGACTCTTCCAGGCCTATATTAAGTAGGCGACATAGCACTCTAGTGAGAGTGACAGAGAGTGACAGTGAGAGTCTAGTACGACTACCAGTGTTGGACACTAATTTATAGTAAGCTCCACTTACACTATCTCTGTAAACTGTTGTTAATATATCTTTCTTACATCAAATCCGTGTTCCGTGTTTTACTTCTGTGGTCCCAACTTTGGCCCCACATCACTAACGTATTCAAAAATTCAAAATCAATCTTCATCATCTACTTCTTTGAAAATTGTTCTTGTTATTGTACTATCTACTCACTATGGTTTTCTTATTCTCTTTCCCTCTCATTAAGTCGTTGCGTTTTAGCGGCTTTATCGCCTTGCTTGGGGTGAAATGATTTTATAAAAAAATAACAATAAATTCTCATTGTTATATTCTATTTTCAATTATGATTCTTAAAAAATATTTTATAATATTTCCTGTCTTGTAAGTTAAAGACTGTCACCTGCTCGGCTGAGCGAAATACCTATTCATACACCTCTACTGCCGAAGATGTTTGCTGTACGCTTCCATTTCTCGACCTATTATTCTCTTCAGGTGTCTATTTTTGAGGAATCTCGCTTACAACTCGCTTGTTTGCTTGTTGCTTTTTGTCTTTGTTTAGAGGCATATCAAGTTATTTAATGAGCTCTGACCTGGTCAAGGACCATCCTGGCGTTAAAGGAGGAGGGGAACGAAACATTTAAGTTCAACCGTCAACTTGAAGCGAATCTACGACGTACTATCAAAAAGGCCCGACTAGCCCAGCCACAACCACGAGACACTCTCCTCTGTGACTCCTGCACACAGCTCTTCAGGGTATAACAGTAACCTACATCCGGCAGGAAGGTCTCTGATCAGAAGATTTTGAGCGGCTGATAGCATCTGTTAGGGACCCAGATATGGGCGTATAGTTAATCCCTGAACTGGAGACAAAACACCATGAAAGTGTAAAAATAGGTTTTAATACCAGGCACAAATTTTTGTAAAAGAAAAAAAATTGCTAGCAATATATTTTTGTAAAAAAAAATATTTCCAGCAATACCCTTTTGAAAAAAAAAAAAAACAATAATACCAGCAATATACTTTTTGAAAAAAAAATCCCAGCAAAACATTATATATATATATATATATATATATATATATATATATATATATGGTTGGATTGATGTGAGTTTGTGACCCTGGGTTTCACGCTTTTGCGATCGTCAGACAAACTGATTAATTTTTTTAAAATTTTGGGTTTATGTAGATTGCGTGTATTGGTGTTATTATCGAGGTGGGGGGTCATCGTCGTGATATCACTCATGCTAACGCAAACATAGATGCATGTCCGTACAACCGATGAGGTACGCAGACACACATACACACTTGCTTTTCCGTCGGGACTCATATATATATATATAAACATATGTGGACAGTTTACGATTTGACATATGTGTGTATATGGGTGGTGTTGTGTCTATACATACGCGTTTGTATGTTGAAATTCAAAGATCTGAAGTGTAGCGAAAATTTCTCGTGAATGTCTCGTGAATGTAAACATGTCAGCAATCAGAGCATTTCTCTATTTTTTCGCTGAATAATATTTCCTCGCATGCACGTATATATGTGTGGTGGGGTCAGTGTAAAATTATGATAGATAAAAATTGCTATTAATTTAATTTTTTTAAAGTTTATTTGTTATTAGTTTAAAGCTGGTTATTTGCTTGTTTTTGGTGACTGTGGATATGTAACTGGTAGAAATTTCACTTTGTAATCCTTATTGGATATTTTTCTGGTGATATTAAATATGCTGGGGGAGGGGGTAGTTTACGTTAATAATTATAGCGGGTCTATATGATAATAGTAGATGTGATGTGATAGTAATGTTGTAAGGGGATTGTTAGCAATGATAATATAAGTGGCTAATATTTATTGTAAATTGGTATAAATGATTAGTAATGAGAATGGTGGTAGGAGAATGATAAAAACAATAAATGTAACTATTGTGGTGATAGCTTGAACTAAAAAGTGATTGTTGGTGTTTTATTTTATTTCAATTATTTATTTATTTATTTTGTTATAAATCCTGATAATAGGTATTTATTCTCATGCCTACATTTGGAAATTATCTCTGATTTTATTGGTTTTTATTTGGTGGTATTAAATATGCTGGGGGAGTAATTTACGTTAATAATTATAATGGATTTATATGTTAATAGTAGATGTGATGTGGTAGTAATGTTGTTGGGTGTTGGTGGTAATGATAATGTTAGTAGCTAAAAGTTATTGTAAAGTGGTAGATGTGATTACTAATAGTGGTGCAATGATAATAACAATAAATGTAATTATTGTGATGGTAGCTTGAACTAAAGAGTGATTGTTGGTGTTTTTTTTTATCCGATTGGTATAAATTCGGATAATAGGTACTTATTCTCATGCCTACATTTAGAGATGATCACTGACCTTTTGTTTAGTAAATGCTTTTGCGGGGTATGGGATATTATTGCTACTTTTTCGTGTAGACAAAGTAGGCATGTTGCTGTAGGCTGGTGCTTTTTTCAATATTTTCAGGCTTATCGTTGGTGTGATATTTCTGTCTTTTTGCTGCCATATGTATGTGGATATTATAGTGCTGTTCGAGTATTTCCTGTTGGTGAATGAAAGGTTGTGATTGTTATTCCTCTTCTTGAATGGACCCTCAGTGCCACCGATGTTGTACATTATGCTGTTTATGCACTTACCTTGATATTAGTGAGTGTATGTGTGGGAGTGGGAGACAAGTGTGAGAGGGAAATGTCTGAAAGCTCTAGAGAGAGGGTGTAACAGAAGAAAGAAGAACAGGAAGGTCTAAAGGTGAAGGTGGGGATTAAAATTTAACAGAGAGAAGTTTAAAAAAAAAAGAAAAAGTGAAAGAAAGAGTGGGGGTGACAAACTAAAAAAGACGGGTATTTATAAGAGAACCGATGTGCAATCAAGATTATATTACTTTGTTAAATTTTCTTGATTGCACATCGGTTCTCTTATAAATGGCCTTCGCTTCTCTCTCTCTCTCTCTCTCTCTCTCTCTCTCTCTCACCTTCTGGATTTTAAGTTTAGATCATATCGTTTGTTATTGCGCACAGTGTCACCACAAATGAATACACACGTTTCAGGTGTCTGTTGTTTTTTTATTACTTTAATTTAGGTCAGCGATTCGGTAGCGAATTATGAATCGAAAAATAATTCATATTTATCTGTATCTCACTCATTTAAACCATTATTTAACTCCTCTCTTTAAAACTTCTCTCTGTTAAATTTTAACCCCCACCTTCACCTTTATGACATCCTGTTCTTTCTTCTGTTACCCTTCTCTAAATCTTTCATTTCCATCTCACACTTGTTCCCACTCCCACACATACACTCCCACTAAAATTTTATTTTTTATACCGGAGTTATATTTTCCGATTTCTCTTTGAATATGGAATATTAATGTTAGAGACTTTTTATTATATATATATATATATATATATATATATATATATATATATATATATATGTGTGTGTGTTTCACCAACAATACATTTTGGAAAAAAGACAATATTTCCAGAAATATACTTTTGAAAAGACAAACAATATTACCAGCAAAGCATTTTTTGGAAAATAAAAAAAATACCAACTATCCACTTAAATATAAATATTTAAATATATATATATATATATATATATATATATATATATATATATATATATATATATATGTGTGTGTGTGTGTGTGTGTGTGTGTGTATGTGTGTGTTTGTTTGTCTTTCCAACAATACTTTTTTGAAAAAAAAAAACTATATTTAAGTATATATATATATATATATATATAAAAGAAATATGTTGTAGTGGTTCCAACGAGAGAAAGTATGTATATTAAAAAGAAGATGCTGCAAACGTTTTTGGTTGTAATGGATTAATTGAAAAAAAAAAATATATATATATATATATTCAAATGTATGTATATATATATCTGTGTGCGTGTCTGTGTGTCTGCGTGTGTCTTACCACAATACATTTTTGAAAAGAAAAAAAAAACTGTCTTCATTAAATACGCCATTAAGTTTGATATGCTCCAGCCATCTCCATCACTGCTACTAGAAGGAAGAATGTTATTATGGAGAGAAAAATGACCACCCCGATGGTCGAATGTGACCGGGTGCAAATGAATTAATGCCGAAATCTAAATATTTTGCACGGAATTTTATTTTATTTATTTACTATTTATATATTTTTCTTACAAATTAACACATAGCAGTGGAGAGAAATGCTGGATTCCTGCTTTTTTTCAATGGTTCGTAAGTAAATATAACGAATTCATCTGGAAAGGAAACTCAGATCTCTGTCCGATTCAGATTGTCTTGTATAAACCTTTATATCAACCGCACATACAAGCTAACACTACCTGGTATTTCCAAGCTGTCACCCATCTAGATACTAATCAGACTCGATATTGCTTAACTTCAGTGATTGTACGGGAATCGGTATTTCAACGTGACGTAGGTGTAAGCTTCGCTTGTTTGTATCACTACCTTTGATATGAGTTCTTTCTTAGATTGTCTGCGTGTACTTTTGCGAAAGGTTGTATACGTCCAACTGTAATGTTATAGGAAAGAGTTGAAAAAGCTTTTCTTATCTCGTTTATTCATAAAATAGAACTACAATTCAGAAACTCAAGTTTAAACGGCCCTGGGTTGTGTTAATTCCTTGTGGAATTCTTTTCCTGAATCTTTCCAAAGATCTCTTACTCTGCCCTATTCGCTTTGGTGCTTTTTCGCGTATCATATTTTGAAGTGCAGTCATTTCTTTTGTTGTTACTTGTGGCACATAACTAGAATCTGTTGAAGTGATGGCTTCTGGTGTTTGTATAAGCATACCAGTCTGCATAGAATATTTCGGTTATTCTTAGAGTATTGTTCTTAGCTTAAATGACTTCAATTTTCTGTTCTTTGTTTATCTACGTCCGTTGAAGAAGGGGAGTCTTCGTCTGCTTCAGTCTTTTAGAAATTCTGCTTCCATTATGCTTCTCTTAATTTCCTCTCGATTACGTCGATAAACGTTGATTTGTTACACGTATTCCCTTTACACGTCCATCTTTCTTTTCCTTTTAGTAATTTTTCGACTTATTTTTTTATTTCATTTTAGTCTATATCTCTGAAACTATTCCTAATCGATAGGAAAACATTAAAATATATTTGATACACTTGGATTAAGAACAAGGAATCATTGATTAGGCAGGGAATTGCGCACACCATTACATCTGTACATTGAGCCTCACTACACCATTTTACATTACTCGGACTATTGTCCTCAACTTTGTCGCCATATTTATTACAACGTTTCGGCCATTGTAAGTTCCAGCCTTCTTCAGGTGGTTGGAATGTCAACCTAAACCCTTTATTTCGCTCACTGAGGTAGACTGTTTTATTTTCACGTGTCACGTTTAATGGATATCAGTTATTTCCCGTTAATTTTCCTCTCCAAGATCGTCACTGTCATAAAATGTCGGCGTGGAAAAACATAGCAATCGCTACAGATGTTGTTAATACTGTTTATTATAAATAGAGCTTTTACTTAAATATTTGTATCTATAAAAATAACGTATAAACAGAAAATATATTAAAATAATTGTTGAACTTTGTCTATGTTGTAATCTGTATTACTTGCACTATTTACATTATTCGGACTATTATCTTCATCTTCATTGCCATAGTCACAACCTTTCGGTCGTTGTACGCTCCAGTCTTCTTCGGGCGATTGGAATTTCGAACCGGACAATTTATTTCATCACCGGGGTAGAATGATCTAGTTCCATGTGCCATGCCTGTTAAGGATGTCTCAGTTATTTCCCTTTAACTCGATCTTCCACGTTTTGTTTCACCACTGCTGTGGCGTGATATTGAACTCCCTCGATCTCAAGGATATATGGTCCCATGGATAAAGACTTTGGTTAGATCCAGTGACTAGACCCAAAGAGTTGTGAGTTCAATACTAGCGCTGAACCAAAACTTGGAGAGTTGAGTTAAAGGGAAATAACTGAGACATCCGTAAGCGGTGTGGCAAATGTAACCAGAACAATCTACCCTAGTGGACCAAATAAAGGGTTCGCTTCTAAATTCCAGTCAACTGAAAGAGACTGTAGCGTATAACGGCCGAAACGTTATGAATATGGCAATGAAGATAAGGATAACACTCCGAATAAGTTAAATAATGCTAGTATTTCCCTTTTAATAGTTATTTCCTTTTCTTTTCTCCTGTGTCTTTAAATATCGTTCTAGATTATCTATTGATTTCTTCTATTTTCTTTTTAAAATATGATAAATTTTTGAATGGGTTTTTATGAATTCTCCCTTAACGTTAATGATATTCTCACTGACTTTATGTTTTCTTTTTGGAAATCTCGAATTCACCGGGTTTCTCTCTAGCTTTGATAGCAAGTCTCTTTTTGAGAATCATTTTGATAGATTTTAAAGCCAATTTTGACAGTGAAATTTGAATGTCCGTAATGTCCTCTCTCAAAATATTTTGAAGTAAAATTTGACAAACTTTAAAGAAAAATTTGCAATTCGATAATGTTATTTATTATTGTCCTGTTTTCTTTTTTTAGAATCATTTTGCTTTTTTCTGGATATTAAATTTAAATTTGAAGTCAATAAACTTTTCTGTGTTCTATATTATATTGTTATTCTTCATGAATGTTTCACCTTTAAGAAAATTAGTTTACAATTATGACATATAGTTTCAGGTGTTATTTTAAAATTCGATACCATTAGATATATATATATATATATATATATATATATATATATATATATATATATATATATATATATATATATATATATATGTGTGTGTGTGTGTGTGTAACTTAACTGATATTTTTCTCTCATATATTCCAATTAATTCCAAGTATACCAACCTTCATTGCTTTACTTTCTATACTTCCTGCTTTTGCACCGATATCGTTGTAAATATTGTAGTTCTCTCTTTGGCCTTTGGCCATCATAAAACTAATGTAAAACCGTCATTTAACTCTATCTCTCTTTATATATATATATATATATATATATATATATATATATATATATATATATATAGGATATATAATAGGATACATAAAAGTTCAAATTTGACCATTAACATTTTTATGTATTATATATATATATATATATATATATATATATATATATATATATATATATAAAAAGAAAAAGGTTAATGGTGAGATTTGAATTAAGCCAAGAACCAATACTTTTAAAAAGTGTTCCATACACATGTGAAAAACATGTAAAAATATAAGTAAAAAACAACAAGTAGTTCTTTTAACTTTAAAAATCAGGAGGTCAGTTTAATCTGCTACCTTCGTTTCAGACTTAGGGTATTTTCAGCCGATTTTTATCAAATGACCTCTTAACGCTTTATTTATTTTTTTTTTTTAAGTTACCAATGAACGCTATATTATTATTGTCAAAAAATAAATAAACAAACGCACAAGATTTGTTTTAACAGGAAGTGGGTAGGAGTAGAAGAAGAAGAAGAAGAAGAAGAAGAAGAAGAAGAAGAAGAAGAAGAAGAGCAAGTATATTGTAAGTATATCGGTAGATTGTTAATTGAAATTAAAATACATTTATAATAAACTTTCTCTTCTTTTCTTCCCCTTCTTCTTTTTCTTCTTCTTGTTCTCCTCCCCCTTCTTTTTCTCCTCCTTCTCCTCCTATCTTCTTTACATTGTCTCCTCCCTTTCTATTGCATCCAACGTCTCGCGTTTGTTTGTATTTGAAAATAATAATGTCGCGTTGATTAGTTTTTTGTTTTTGTTTTTTAAATAAAGCGTTACGAGGTCATTTCATAAAAATCACCTGAGGATTCTGTACTGTTGAAACCAATGTAGTGGATTCATCAGACCTCCTGATTTTTAATATTATATATATTTGTGTGTATCTGTGCATGTGTGTGAGGGTTAGAGTTATGTATCTAACGGACATACTACCACCTCCACGAATGGGCGCCTCACATGGCACTTATCTGATCACAAATTTCTGTAAAAAATATCTAACTGACGACAATTTACAAAGAATATTAAGGCTGAAAACACTAAAATTCTATATAAATTACGTTTGCGGAAATATCTCGCTACAAGTGATCGCCTGTATATTAAATATATCTCCCTCACTATCAACATCGCTTATTTAACAGTCGGGATGGTGTGTAGAAAGTCTTTAGAAAATAGAAAGAAGCTCACTCTTAATAAACTCTCCTACTAGTATTGAAAACAAAACAAGAATACATCTTAAACAGTCAAACATAAAGAGAAGTTAACAACAACTAAAATAAAATTAAAAAAAAAAACACTTAAAAATTGCTAGAGAAGACGTTGAAAACACTTGGCACAATAAGAACAATTTTTTACACTCTCTTATTCCTACCAAACAGGAAAATGTAAGAACCCCGGAAAAACAAAATAAAAAATTGATTAAATTTTCCTTGTCTGACATATTTAACGAACGATGTTTAAAATAAAGATTATAGCCCTAACGTACATAATATATATATATATATATATATATATATATATATATATATATATATATATATATATATGATATATATATGATGTGTCACTTATTTATATAAGAACCAAATATATTCTGGGTCTGTCAGGTCATCAGATGTTGACAACTCTTTTCTATTTTATGTCTGTTCTTCGGCCCATGCTAGCATAATTTATAAAGGCTATTTATATTGTATATCAACACCTGCTTGGAAGTTTATCTGGGCTTTCTAGCACTTTAAATGTACATGAAGAAAAATATTTTCATGACGTGTTTCAGTTGCGATTTTTGTTGCTGTTGTTGTTATTAGCCTGAAAATGCATGAGATTACCACATTATCAGGCGGCGATTTTCTTGAAAATGCTGACTGCGAGTGATTTTAATGTTTTGAGTTCGCCGTGGTGGGGATCTACACCCGGCATATCAGTAAACAATGTCGATTTGTAGTAATGGCTGGCTAGAAGAGACACCAATTTATATGTGGTATAGTATTCTGGCTCTGTATGTCAAACTAACTCTGTCTGGTTTTTCTTCCAATATGGATTCCTTTATATTCTTCTTCTTTATGCCCGGTGTCCCTTCGGGATGTATGCGGTCATGGCTCTCCATAATTTCCTGTCCGTCCTAACTCTTAATAATTTCTGTTTTTTTGTTATTTCTCCTAAACCATTTATTATATGTGTGTGTGTGTGCGTCTCTGTGTGTGTTTGTCTCTCTCTGTGTGTGTGTGTGTGTGTGTGTGTGTGTGTGTGTGTGTGTGTGTGTGTGTGTGTGTGTGTGTGTGTGTGTGTGTGTGTGTGTGTGTGTGTGTGATTTGTGTGTGGTACATAAAAAAAAAATTACCTGAACATAGAGGTAGTCCATTTCAAGCCGTTCTGTGCGCGGCTATCATCAGTCCCTAAGTGTCTATCTCGGAACATTGTTTTAAATTTATTTTCAATGT